GAAATGAAAAGTTATCTCTTGACCAAATGTGTACATTGATGTAACAAATTGTTTCATTGATTTTTGGTTTTCTGAGACACAGGCTTGCTATGTAGTTCAGGCTTGCTTTGAACTTGCAGTGACCCTCCTGCCTCAGCTTCCCAAATGCTGGGATCACAGATGTATGCCACTGCACCCTACTTAAAATTTACAGTGGGATGTTTTAGTATATTCACAGGATTATGCAGTCATAGTAGATTAGGTTTTTTCCACTACAAATTGAGATATAATTCTAATAAGATAAAATTCATCCTTTTAAACTATTCAGTAGTTTTTAGTGTATTTGAAAGTTGCACCAAGCCAAGTGTGGTCACACACACCTGTAATCCCAGTACTCAGGAGGCGGAGGCAGGAGAATTGTTGCAAATTCAAGACCAGCCTATGCTACAAAGTGAGCTTAAGGCCAGCCTGAACTGCCTGAGACCCTGACTCAAAAAGACAATAAATAAATAAATATTGTACCAGACATGGTGGCGCACATCTATAATTCCAGCACTCAGGAGGCTGAGGCAGGAGGATCACTGTGCATTTGAGACCAAGTAAGCTCAAGGCCAAGTAAGCTACCAAGTAAGCTCAAGGCCAAGCTGAACTACATATTGAGATCCTGTCTCAAAAAAAAAAAAGTTGCACAATCATCTCCACTATCTAATTCTAGAGCATTACACTCCACTTACCTAGTATGCACAAAATTCTGGGGTTCACAGTACAGGAAGAAGAGAAAGAAAGAGGAAGAGGAGAAAAAGGAAGACAAAGAAGAGGGAGGGGAAAGGAGGATGACGGACTGGGGGAGAAGAGGGGAAGAGGGAGAAAAAAGAGGGGAGAAAAGGAATAAATGGCATAGAAGACATCTCTCCATTATTTTTAACAACTACAAGTGTATCAACAATTATCTCAATAAAAATTTCAGTTAAAAATAATAGTAATTATTCTGATAGATGCATATTTTTCCAATTCATTTTATTCCAAAGAGAAAGAAATCAAACAAAACTTCAAAACACATCAACCAGAGGAAAACAATGGAACATACATTGTGCATTGTCATCCCTGAATCATTCACCCAGAGCACAAGACCTGACATAATTTTTAGCTGCCAGTTGTCCCTCCCCAGCTGGCTACAGCTATTGAGTTTCTGCTTTGCTTTATTGCTATTCTGTGGCAAGAGAAACATCTTGTCTGTATAATATAGCCACATTCTCTTACAAATAAAAGTTTCCACAAATATCAAACCAAAAATTACTGGTAAAATACATTAATTATATCTGAAACACAGAACACCGGACTTTGTTATCAATATTACCAGTGACTCTTCCTGTTAACTCACGTTGATTCATGCTCTAGCCCATCTAGTGCTGTGCAAGAGTTTTAGCTCAGTATCACTTTGCCTGAGCTAGAGAATGGAGTCGCAGCTATCCCTTCTATTTCTGGCTTCACCCAATATAGCTCTCATGCACCTGTTTCTCCATTATTGGGTGGATGCACATGGTGATTATTTTTTGTATGTTCCATAAAGAGGTAAAGTTAATTATAACAGAAAATTTAGAATACACAGAGGGAAGAGAAAAGTTACCTCATCAAGACAATTGTGTTCCTGCAGAATTAAATAACAGGTTATTCAAAGAGAGCAGATGACTCATGCCGACGCTCAGATATTCTGTTGAAATCAATTAAACTTACTCTTTAAAAATAGTTTTAACACCAGGAAACCGTATAGTAACTGTCACTAATTTTTACTAAATTTAGAAAATGCCGTAGGAGCTACAGAATACTTCTCAATATTCATGTCAAAATGAGATCTTTCATAGCCTTTTAAATATTTTCTCTGACAGATACATAGAAAAGCATTTGTAATTAGCAAATGATTTATGGACATATAGGGAATAGCTTTGAAAGAATAATTTCAAACTGGGTGTGATGGTATAAGACATAATTCTAGCACGCAGGAGTTGAGGTCAGACTGCCACAGTGAGTTCAAGGCCAGCCTAAACTCTGCAGTGAGACCTTGTTCCAAAAAACAAAAACTAAAAATAATTTGAGAGCTGATACAATGGTGAACACCGGTAGTCCCAGCTACTTTGAGGGCTAATGCAACAAGATCACTTGAGCCTGGGAGTTCAAAGCCTGCTTGGATGATATAATGAGACCCTGGCTCAAAAAGTAAAGAAATGTTTTGAAATTCTTGCAAATAACTTACATATTTTCTTTAAATAAGGTACCTGAACTCTTTGACAATTTGATTTATTAAACAACTATGCATTGATGTTAAAATTTAACCTAACCCAAATCCAAATTATCAAAATTCTCAAACTTGTTTTATTTTATTTTATTTTATTTTATTTTTTGGTAACAGGGATCGAACTCGTGACCTCATGATTGCCAGGCAGGCACTTAGGCCACTGAGCTAAATCCCTGGCCTTATTTTATTTTATTGTCTCTTTGAGACAGGTTTCTTATGTGGTTCAGACTGGCCCTGAGCTCATTTTGTAGCCCAGACTGGCCTGGATCTGGAAGTGATCCTCCTGCCTCAGCCTCCCACATGCTGGGATTATAAGTGTGTGCCACCGTGCCAGGCTACAAACTTCTTAAGTATTAATAATACATTGTATCATAGAGGAGAATGATGTTATCCATGAGCAACTTCAGGGATCTTTTTTCAGGGGTTGACGTCATAGTTTTCAGAAAGAAAAGACAAATGTAGACCCGGTGTGAGGGTGTACATCTGTAACCCAGCACTGAGGGAAGTTGAGGTAGGGATCACAGGTTCGAGTCTTGCCTGAGCAGTGTTTTGTTTTTTTTTTCTGAGAAATTTGCCAAGACCATGTCTCAAGGAAAAAAAAAAAGCACACAAATATAAGAACTCTCTCAAAGATATCACAAAACTTTCTGTGTCTATGTAAACTACATTTAAATTTAAACTCTATTCATCTCTCCATGCTAAACAAATGAAAGCACCAGCACAAGACACACACACACACACACACACACACACACACACACATGCACCCTATGATCAGAAAACACAATGAATGGTAAAAATTTTTAAATGTAAAAGACAATAGGCCCTGCAAACTTCTCCCCCTTACTTCAAACATGTTATCAATAATTCTTGCCACTTTCCAAAGCAGTTCAGGGAGTTCTCTTTTGTCTTTTTGTTTTTTTAGTACTAGCAATCGAACTCAGGACCTCATGCTTGCTAGGCAGGTGCTGCACCACTAAGCTAAACCCCTGGCCCCAAGCCCCCCTTTGTGAGCATCTTTAGTTGTGCTGTTGTGACTGCCTTGAGGTGGTGAATCAGTTTAAAATGTCTACCTTCGAAGAGCTGGAAGTCACACAGTGCCAGATCTGGTGACTAGTAGAGAGAGACAGATGGTAATGTTTTGTTTTTTGTTTGTTTTTGCTTTTGTGTTCAGACAGGGTCTCCTCAAACTCTCTATGTCCCCCAGGCTGGCTTGGAACTTGAGGTGAATCTCCTGCCTCAGCCTCTTGAGTGGTGGTGTTACAGGTGTGTGCCACCGTGCCCCACGATAATGTTTTTATGAGCCCACCTCACTGTTGGACGGCAGTCAGCCGTCCAATCACAAAAGAGAACTTGCAGAGCTCCTTCAGCGGGTGACAGGAGTGGTGGCACAAGTGAGGTCAGAGCCAGGGAAAGTATTTTGATGGGGATTAATAGCAATGTGTCTTTTCCTGCAATACATTTTTAAAAATTTAAACATGTACTATGTATTTTGATCACAGCTTGTAGTGGTCTAGGTATCTACTTAAATGAATATTTGTATCTACTTAAATGACACTTGTAAGCAGGCTATTGACACAAGAACAGGAAAGAGCTTTAATAACATCTTGGGCAGAAAACAGCCCGGTGTTACAAACTGAATGAAACCATCCGTTGAAGTCCTAACCTCCAGTACCCTGAATGAGACGGTATTTAAGGATAGCGTTCTTTAAGTTAAAGAGAGAGCATTAGGCTTGCCCCTGATCCAACAGGACTGATCTCCTGATAAGAGGAGGAAACCTGGACCCAGCTATGAAGGGAAGATGACATGGGGTCTTAGGAAAAAACCACCATCTGCACCCCAACTTTGCTGACACTGCTGGCCTCACGATTGTGAGAACATAAACTTGTTGAGGCCACCAAGGTTGTGATATTTGTGATGGCACCCTAGAAAATAAATACAGCCTCCAGACATAGCCACAGATTCAAAGGGCTCGCCATTGACCCCCAAATGTAACCATGTTGTGCTCTTTATTTGATAAAGTAACCCTAAAATTGTAGCCATGAACAACTATATCATTATGCCCTTAACAATGACAGTGACCTGTGGGCTTCCTACCAGTTTCCTATAAGACCGATCCTTGCAACAAATCCTGATAATACTTAGGCTCACCTGAAGAATTTCTATAAGCATTATCTGCTCTTCATCCCAGGGAGTACAAGTACAAAGTACAAAGGCATTTCCTACAAAATGTACTTTCTGTCCTTTTTATCTATTGCTGCCACTCAGATGCGTTATCAAATATTGAATAAGACTAGTGAATATTTGCCAGTTGGTGGTATACTGAAAATAGCAACTCATTCTTTTCAGTAGAAATGGTTGAGGTGGATGGACGGCAGAATGCTTGCCTAGCATGCACATCTAGGTGAGATCCTTAGCTGAGGAAAAAGCCAGCTTAATACATGTAACTGGTTACTTTTATGACCTAGGTTTTGAGCAGGTAATCCATAAGTACTGTTTAACCTCCAACGTTTGGCAGCTGATGCTAAAGCACTTAACCCTGGCCACCCACAGTGAACGTCCCCTGGCAAAAGGCAGATATATGTTTAAATGATAAAAACTCAATATTGGGGGGGGGCATAACTGGGGTAAGATGACACCTGATCAGCCTTTTATCAGAATGTTTCTGCCCCTGCTTTTACAGAGAGAGTATACTTTCTTTGTGTTTTGTTTTCATAACTCATTTACCTCCGCTAAAAGATTCTTGTTTTTCATCAGCAAACCAGCAAAGCTAGGATGGACTGGGTCAGCTGCCTTTGTGAAGTTCATGCTTGGGTTCCCAGTGGCAACAACTTGAAGAGGTGGATTAAAGAAGCCTACAAAGAGAAACTGCCATGAGTTAACAAAGTGTGCACCTTGTGGATCAAAGCCCTCTATGTTCCAACCCACTTGAACTCTCATTAATGGCTTGAAGTAGGACACAGCTTTAAACAGAACCTCAACAAATACAATAGGCCCTGGAAAACGGTGAGTAGCATGCTTACCTGCAAAGCTACTGAATGTTTTTCTAAAATCCATTCCTTACCAGACAATAGTGTATAATACAAGTCATAAGAAAATGTAGCACAGCAAACTGTGTAGACACCATTTTTGAGAACACAGAAATCAAGAATATATATGAAATTTCTGGTAAAATTTTCATGTGTATCTAACAAAAACTTCACAGAAATTTAAACTATTAACTTCACGAATAAGTCGTTGATCAAAGGTTTAATAGTTGTTTTATTTTGAGACAGGATCTCACTCAGATACTAAGTTATCCAGGCTGGACTAGAAATTTAGGCTACTGACTCTACCTTTCAGAGTACTGAAACTTCGTATATTTTATTTTTGGTTGCAAATAAGTTCCTACATACACAATTATGGTTTTTAAAACCTAATTTCAGTAGTCAATATGTGTGTTTTTGCCACACCTAAATTAAGGGTACAAGTTAGAGTGTATCTATCTGTATTATTGGCTCTCTCCCTGCTGTTAAAAAAGGTTTCCAGAATTCTGAATTGTAATTAGTGGAACTTCCAATGAAGATAGCATTTGTATGACTCAAATGAAACCGTGGAAATTGTGGTAATTGGAATAACTAAAAAGTATTTAAAACCATATTACATGGTCCATTTAATGTACTAAAAGAATGAAACATTTTTTCTAAAATTATCAGAACTAATTTTGTGTCTACCAAGATACTATAAACAAAGATTTGTAAGAGAATACTAAATATCTAATCTCATATGTTTAAAAGAAAATAGAACTTTAAAGATATGAATAAGTCACATATTAATACAAAAAATAAGTAGAGAGTTATAGTGTAGAGGTGCAGTGCTTCACTGGCATGAGTGGCTCTGGGGTCAGAGCCCAGCCCCACGATATAAATAGAAAAATAAAGTGAAAAACCCATACCAAGTTAGAAAAATAACCAAAATAAAACTTTTAAAAATAACAGGTATAATTTCAATTTGAAAATTATATAGACACGTTGACAACCAAGTTAGACCCATCTGAAGAATAAAAGGATATAAAGATGAATCTGAAAACAATTATCAAGACAGCATGTAGGGAGCCAGGCATGATGATGCAAGCCTATAGTCTCAGCACTCAGGAGGCTGAGGCAAGGAGCTGGGGATTTAGCTCAGTGGCATAAACGCCTGCCTTGCAAGCAGGCAGTCGTGAGTTCGATCCCTGGTACCGATAAAAAGGAAAAAGACAAAAAAAAAAAAAAGCAAGGAGGCTGAGGCAGGAGGGTCCCAATGAAATCAAGGCCAGCCTGGGTGACATAGTGAGCTCAGAATCACCCTAGACTACATAGCGAGACCTGTCTCAAAGCAAAACCCTTTCCTATTCTCCAATAAATTTTCCGACTCTTAACCTCTGTTATTCCTTACAATTCATGCTTCAACTTTGGGGGATATGAACTTGGTGTGTTTGACATCTAGCATTTTTCCTATATCATTGTGGAGACGCCGTGAGATACTTGTAAGAGGGCAGTAGGAGGAAATTGAGCCCTGGGCGGGAAGTCACTCTGAAGATGGGGTAGATTCGCAATGGTGTAGTCACAAACAAGGGAATGCTGGCAGCCACAACAGGATATCATCAAAGACAAGAAAAGATTGTGTCCTAGAACTTCTGGAAATTGGGGATCAACAGAACAGATTAGAAGATGCAGAAACAACTCCAGACACACTCAGCCACCTTATCTTTGACAAATGAGCCAAACACCTTTGCTGGAAAAATTGGTTTTCTACATTCTGAAGATTAAGATTATACCCATATATTTTACCATGCACTAATCTAAAATTGAGATGGATCAAAGATCTAGATATTAAAACAGAAGCACTAAATCTGCTGGAAGAATCGGTATAACTCTTGAAGACACTGGTGTAGGCAAAGACTTTATGAACAAAACCCAATTAACAAATCAACTATCACAAAGAATCAACAAGTAGTATCTCATTTTATGAAAAAGCCTTTGCATGGCAAGAGAAACTACCAACTGAGTGAAGAGACAACTCACAATGTGGGGAAAAATTTTTTGCCAGCTTCTCTTCAGACAAAGGACTAATATCTAGAGTATATAAAGAACTCAGAATAATCAGACTCCTCAAATTTAAAGACCCAATTCAGAAATGGGCATCTGAAATGAATATATACTTCTCAGATAAACTGGTAGAAACAACAAATAAATATATGAAAAAACCTTCCAACATCACAAGCCATTCAAGTAGCTGCAAATTAAGAACAGTGATAAGTTCTATTTCACTCCAGAAAGAAAAGCTATTATCAAGAAATCAACCAATAATACATGTTGCCAGGGCTTCCATGTTGGTAGGAAGGTATCTTGTTGCAACCATTTGTGGAAAACGTGTGGAGATTCCTCAAAAACCTAAAGTTAGAGATTCCATTTGACCCAGCTATTCCCTTTATTGATATCTTCCCAAAAGACTTAAAAGCATCATACCACAGTGATATATGCACACCCATGTTATATTAGCTCACTTTGTAATATGAATCTTGAAAACAGTCCAAATGCCCATCAATCAATGAATGGGTAAAAATTGGCTTTTAAAAAATACAACAGGCTACACAGCTGGCAGGGGCCTGAATTCAGCCCCAGGCCCTGAGAGTACACTGGTTGATCCCAGCACACAGGGAAGCCTTGAAACGTTGTTCCCAGCCCTGTGTCTGAAATCATCAGAAGCCACATGGGAGGTCCCCACAGGCCTAACTGGTCCACGCCCAGGAAAGGCCAAGCAGCAGGCAGGGGCCTGAATTCAGTTCTGGATGCTGAACGTGTGTGAGATGAATCTCAGCACATACGGAAGACTTGGAATGTCACTTCCAGGTCTTAAGACCACACCCGGCATCTCATCACAGAAGGACACACAGTAGTGCCCAAGGGCCTAACAGGCTTATGCTCAGGGAACTCCAAGGGGCTATCAGTTGCCAGCAGTCTGCCTCAGAAGCCAAAAGTGGGCCGGGTGATTTCCAGTGCATGGGGTAAGCTTTGAAACATCGCCCAGAACCTGGAAATATAGGAAAATGACAAATGAATAGAGCAAACTTCCAGCCCAACCCAAGCAAGCCTAGGAGACATGGACACAGAAGAAAATACAAGCCCTACATCTGAAATTCCTGAAATGATAACAATTGAAGCAAAGAAACAACTCCAGGAAGCTATAAAAGAACTCAAATCAGAAATAGTCTCCCAGGTAAAAGAAGAAATGATAAATATAATAAAAGAAATGCTGAACACATTTAAAGAAGACACAGTTAAAAAATTAGAGGAACAATGCAAGGAGAATGAAACTCTGAATGAACAATATAAGAAACAAACAATGCATGAAGCAGATTCAGAGATATCCAGGAAATCAAAAATTCCATTAAAAATTGGCAAAACTGCCTCAACAAAAAGTTGCAGATAGTGAACAGGAAAGGAAAGATATTTTAAAAACAACAAGGAATCAGGAAATGACAATTCAACAGCTGCAAGATGATGCAAAGAAAAACAACATAAGATTGATAGGGGTAAATGAAAAAGAATGGGACAACACAAATGATATCAAGAGGCTATTAACAGGAGTACTAGCTGAAAATTTCCCAAACATGAGAAAGGAAACTGACAGATCAGTGAAGAATATAGAACTCCAAATAACCATAACCAAAAGAAAACTACACCCAGACATATAATAATCAACATCCCAGAAATTCAACGTAAGAACAAAACACTAAAAGCTGCTAGAGAGAAGAGACAGATCTCCTATAAAGGAAAGCCTATCAGAATCACAGAAAACTTCTCAACACAAACAATGAAGTCAAGAAGAGCACGGAGTGAATTATTTCAGATCCTAAAGGAAAACAGCTTCCAACTCAGACTGATGTGCCTTGAAAAACTGTCCTTCAAAATGGATGGAGAAATAAGTTACTTCCATGACAAAGAACAGCTGAATAACTTCATGACCATCAAGCCATCCTTGCAAAGAATATTGAAAGACATTTTAGACAGATACCGGAAAAAACCACTAAGCAAGGCAAATGATTAAACAGAGTGGAAAGCTAAAGAATCAACAGCAGAAAGATAACATGTCAAAAATAAACCAATATATATCAGTTATAACTATTAATGTAAATGGCCTCAATTCATCAATTAAAAGAAACAGACTGGCAGAATGGATCAAGAAACAACATCCAACCATATGCTGTCTCCAAGAAACCTATCAAATCCAAAAGAAAGCTCATAGACTGAAAGTCAAAGGATAGAAAATAATACTCCATGCAACAGTATCCCAAAAAAAGGTGGCGGTAGCTATTCTGTTTGCAGACAATGTGAACTTCAAGCCAAGAATGATCCAAAGAGATAAAGAAGACCACTACATATTAGTTAGGGGAAAACTTCAAGAGGAAGAGATAACAATCTTAAATATCTATGCACAAAATTTGGGAGCATCCACCTATACAATACAAATATTAACAGAAATGAAACATCAAATAAACAATAACAATTATAACAGGAGAACTTAACACGTCATTGACACAAAGGGACAGATCAACTAGACAGAAAATCAGCAAAGAAAAAACAGAACTGAATTATACCTGTGAACAAATGGACTTAGTAAATGTATACAGAATGTTCCACCCAACAACATCAGAATATACATTCTTCTCAGCATTACATGGAACATTCTCTAAAATAGACCACATACTAACCCACAGAACATATTTAAATAAATGTAAAAGCGTTGAAATTATCCCATGCATGTTATCAGGTAATAGTGCCATGAAACTAGAAATTAATGATAAAAGAAACCACAAAAACCCCACAAACAC